ATAAATAGCATAATTAAATAAATAAATCCTGCCTAGGCTCAGGTGTTCAGCATGTGAGAGCCAATGGCACATGTATGCCAAAGATGCACATCCATTGCCAGCCTCAACAAAGTCATCTTGCCAACCTAAAGCTGAGCTCAGTTTCAGCTCTGTAGACACTGAGTCATTCACTGAATAAGCTATTTTGGTATGCTAAATCACTTCATCTCTTTCGGGGGGAGGCTTTGCCTGTTTAGCCTCAACTAAATTGAATATTAAACCTTGTGATAAGAAGAGGAGGAGGAGGAGGAAGGGGAGGAGGAAATTGGATTTATACCCCGCCCTTCACTCGGAGTCTCAGAACAGTTTACAATCTCCTTCCCTTCCTCTCCCCATAACAGTCACCCTGTCAGGTAGATGGGCCTGAGAGAATTTGTGACTGACCCAAGGTCACCCAGCTTCATGTGGAGGAGTGGAGAATCAAACCCGGTTCTCCAGATTAGAGTTCACTGTTCTTAACCACTACACCAAACTGATGGCAGACAATTTGATTATTGTCTTCCTATTAAAGTTGGATGACATGAGAGTCATCCTTTCCTTTGTTTACATTCTTCCATCCACTCCTAGTATATTGGTTCACAGATGGGATCACCTGGGTAGAACTGTTGATGACTTGCGAGCCTGTTTTCCAGAGACCCCTTTAGTACCAGCAGGGAACTTTAATGCAAGGACTGGCAGTGATGATTATACACTTTTCTATAAATCATTAGGCTCTAATAATGATGGATTTCTTAGCTCTGCTTGGCATAATGGAAAACCTAAGGATGATGTAATAAACAGAGGTGGCTTGGAACTGGCTAAATTTGTGATTCAGAGAAACCTTACCCTCTGAATGGTTACTCACAGGTTGATGAAGCTGGTGACTTTACTTATGTGAAATCCAGGCTGTGGTCACACAAACTAAATAATCCACTTTCAATACACTTTGGATTTTGCCAGTTCATACAGTAAAAATCCAGTTGGAAAGTGCATTGAAAGTCGATTGACGTGGATTATTTAATGTGTGTGATTACAGCCCCTGCCCCAAAGGAGCAAGTGTAATAGATTATATACTGGCCCCTCTAGAAAATCTCTCCCATTTTAAGTTCCTAAAAGTTGGTTATTTCTTGTGAAGTGATCATCTCCCAGTCTTCATCTCTATAGACTTATTCTTCGAACATTGTCTTATGCCAGCACAAAGTTTCCCTCTTTCACAAAATCAAAATAATGTCTGTCAATTACGCTGGAGCCCTAACTCTAGTGACAAGGCTCGAACTATAATGGGTTCCATCCCTTGTAACACCCTTGTTAACAAGGTTTTGCCATCTGATTCGGTACCTAATTGTTTGTATAATCTAGATGAGGTATTAAAACAGTTTAGACCCCTTTACATGAAAAAGAAACTTGATAGGACATTCCCTGAAGTTTAGAGGAATAGCTGGTTTAATAATGACTGCAAAAGAATGAAAAGGTGCATTCAACAGAAGCATTTTGAGTTTAAAAGTAACTGTACAATATCAGCCCTCCGAGAGTTGATGAAAGTAAAGAAAATATACAGAGAACTGATTAAAACAAGGAGACAGATGGCCCTTAACAAGGAATGGGAATATCTCATTTCAGCGATCAATAATAATGACAATAAGCCTGTCTGGTCTATCATCAATAGTACTATCAACCCAGCCTCTAGAATCCCATGCTCTGTTGCCCCATTGATGTGGGGTCTATTTCAAGAGGCTATTCTCTGATGCTAATGGGCCTAGTACAGCTGTTATTATTCCTCTTGATATAACAGCATCCTGGCCTGAGGTATCACTTTAGGAGGTCATCTGCTTTATCAAGGGATTAAAATTAGGAAAAGCTCCAGGCTCTGATCTAATCCCTAATGAGCTATTCAAGGCTGATCCATTATGGTGGGCCATAGTCCTGGCCCCAGTTTTTACTCAAATTAACATCAGTGGACAAATACGTGATTTATGGAAACATTCTATTATTATCCCAATATTTAAAAGGGGGTCCAAAAGTGACCCATCCTACTATCGACAAATAAGTCTTCTCTCTTCTCGAAGAAAATTATATTCTGCTTACTTACTAAAGGAGCTCCTGGATTGGATGGAATCAGAAACCATACTGAAACATGAACAGATAAGATTTAGGTGGGGTTCCTCAGCATATGATCAATGCCTGGTTTTCTAGCACCTGGCTGAGAAATATTCATCTTTTAAGGGGGGGGGGGTTATATGTGGTTTTTATTGACCTCAATGGGGCCTTTGACTCCATAAATCACCCTAGATTGTGGAACAAATTTAATCAAACTACCATGGACAAAAGATACCTAGGAATTATTCAGCATTTATACTTGGGTTTGACTGCCCAAGTATGATGTGGATATGATGGGAATTTAACAAATCCATTTAATTTGGAAAAGGGGGGTTGTCAGGGATGCTTGTTGGCACCTCTCTTGTTTCATTTATATCAATTTTTGGTGATTATTGCCATCCACCAAAATTAGCTGAGATTGGTATACCTATTTTGCTTTATGCAGATGATGCCATGATCTTGTCCTGAACCAGGATTGGACTAAAAAGGCCCTTGTAAGCTTTCTCTAATTATTGTTGTTGAGAAAGCCTGGTGATTAACTATTCAAAATCTAAGATCCAATTTTCACCAAGACCAGAAAATGGAACCCATCTCAATGGTCTATCAACAGATCCAATACTGAGCAAGTAAAGCCCTTCTCCTATTTAAGGATTGTGTTTTCGTCAAATCTATCTTAGACCCCCCCAATTTAGAACAGCGCTTAATAAAGCAAAACCTTGTGCAAGTGTCATAAATAGGTTCTTCCACAATAATGGGGGGGAGTATATTCCTGGAGCAGTGCAAGCCTTTAATTTGAAAGTGGCTCCCCTCATTCTTTACGGTTCAACTCTTTGGATTAAAGCTATCTCTGATAAAATTGACCAACTACTAGCCCAATTCTTAAGGAAAATATTGAATATCCTCTGCTGCGTGTCAAACGTTGTATCATGGGCAGAATTAGGACAGATATCCTTGGAAGCAAGAACATGGCTATTTGCCTTCAAACTGAGATTAAAACAGCTCTGTGCTGAAGATGGTTTGTTAGCCATTTTAAATCGGGATACCCACAAATCATCTTGGATGAAAGCCCTGGATGAGGAACTGTAAGACAGTTGGAATGTTGATTGATGACATTTTTAAGATGGGCAAAACCAAAGCATTTTCTCTGATCAAAAAGTGAGTCCTGGAAATCAACCACAGTAGTTTGATTCTGAGAGCCCACAGAGTATGCTCACCCCTATTTTTTGGTCTTTCTTATCCCAAATCTTTACCCCCCTATATGTACTATCTCACCACCCCATGTTATTGCAGAGCCTTTTTTGTTTGCAAGACTGAACATTATACCTACAGTGATTTTGCAGGGGAGATTTTTGAGTACATACACTGACAGAATTTGCCCTTGTGGCCTTCATAGGTCTGATACATTTTTTCACACCCTGCTGAAATGCAATTTTTTTTGAGATTATGAGGGATTACTATAGTAAGCCTTTATTCAACCAATCATCCCCCTATATTCCAAACACTCTGGCTCTTTTGTTCAGTGATAAGGATCCTAAGATCACTCTAGCAACTGCAAAATTTGTCTCAATCATTTTAACCCTTTCATCTAAAAATAATCAAAGACCTTTATTGGCATATCAGTAAAAAATAAGAAATAAGTGTCTTATGCTGCTCAAGATTCATGAATCAATGAGCTTCTAAGGGCACAAAGGAAGGATTTAAACTTCATCCCTTTATCACTAAGGAATTTACTTTTGTGGCAGTCAGTTGTCTGTGGATTGGGAATGGTAACAGAGCTCATCTGGCTTTGAAGAATCTGGCCATACACCAAATGTTCTCCAGGGGCCCAGTGAACTTCCCTTGGGAGAACTTTCCCTTGCTGAAAAGGCCCTGTCACATGTGACCACCAAGATGTAGGGGTCATATTCAAAATATCTTCTGAAGAAGCTCCTAAATTCCAAGTAGGTTTATATGGGAAGAGGTGGTCCTTAACGTCCCATACATATTGCAAGAAATACCACCTGATGGATTGGGCATAGTGCCAGTCTGTGTCTGATAGCTCAGAAATGTTGCCTAATGGAAAAATAAGCTTCTGGCTACTTAGCTTGAGACCCAGGGGTCATTGGGGGGGGACGCGGGGGGACGCCGTCCCCCGGGTGAGGGGCAGGGGGCGGGGCAGGACGAAGCTCCGCCCCATCGACCTGCCGCAGATCGCCATGGTGGGCGGCCAGAGTGCCGGCAAGAGCTCTGTCCTGGAGAACTAGCTCACAGGGAACAGTGGCCGGAAGCCCCGCCGCTCCTCCCCCTGCCTTTCCCGGGCCTTGGGGGATCGGCACGCCAGGCCACCGCCGCCCCCCTCTGCCTTGCATCGCCCCCACCCGTGTTCCCTCTCGAGCAGCTGCTGTTGGGAGGAGGGCTCCAGTCGTCGAGGGGGTGGGGGGGAACACTCGAGGCAAGGGGGAGAGGCGGCCGGCTGTGGCCCCTCCCCACCCTCCGGAGCCCCCCGCCAGGAGGCATGGGCTGGCGGCGCGCTCCAGGCTCCGTCTCAGCAGGTGGGAGGCCGGCGGAGGCGAGAGGTGCCGCCAGCGCTCCGTCCGCCCTCGCGCAGGGACCGACCCGGGCCGGCTGCCAACAGGCTCCGCGGCTGAAGACCAGCCAGCTCCGCACGCCCCTCAGACCCCTACGCCACCGGCCACCTGCCTCCCCTGCTCTGTCCTCCCCGGGGCTCCCAGCCCTGGCTCGTCAGCGCCACTTCCTCTTCCTCCCTGCCTGCCACAGACCCCGACGGCGCGCACTTCCTGGCTGGCTGGAGCGCGGGGCCGCCCCGACCGCTCCGCCCCGGTGCCCTCCTGCTGCTGCCGCCCGAGGCCGAGACAAAGGCGCCCCTGCCTTGCCGGCCGCCCCGTCCCTCCCTCCCGGCTTCTTCTCTGGACCAGAGCGCCCAGAGGTAAGGCGGCGGGAGAGGGGGTCGGCGCGGGGCAGCTTCTCCGACGGCTTCTTCTCTCCGTTTCTAGTCGGGGAGGGGAGCGGGTTGGAGGCAACTTTGGGCGCTCGGGAAACTCCGGATGCTGCATGCGAACGGGTTTCCCAAGCGCTTCCAGCTGGTGGTCCCTCTAAGCTGACTTTGTGTGAGCTAGTTCGTGGCTTTTTTAGCCTCCGGCTCGCACATTTTTGCCCTGGCTCAGGAAGGAGGGGCTCCAGAGCAAATTAATGTACGCAGTAGCCAAATTGCGGGCTCACAACTTGAACAAAATGACTTGTCCATGCTGGCTAAGGTACCTCTGTCATTTCACAAAGTATTGCAATATATCCTGGCAGGACTTTTTTGGTAGAAAAAGAAGAGGCCCCCCCTTGAAGGGAAGGGAAGGCAGTTTAAACTGCCTTCCCTTGGCTTGCCTGGGGGCCCCATTGCTGTGGGGCGCCCGGGCAAACCCGACCCCCCCCATATTTGTATAAGAGTTACACCAGTTAAGATGGGGGGGGGATAACATTTTTTTTGGGGGGTCGTCTTTCATTTGGAATCACCCTCCTTTTGCGTAGGGAAGGGGGCTGTGGCTCTGGTGCAGTATCTACTTGGCCTGCAGAAGGTCCCTGGTTCAATCCCTGGGATC